CCCCGGGCGCGCTTGATGATGTGAGAGCCTGGCCCGGTGAGAACCCGGCGTGCTCCGTCCCGGCTTTGTAGGGATGCGAGGTCAATGGTCTAACGACACGGCATGCACGACTATGAGTACACACACACACACACACCCTTTCACTTCTTGGAAAACATGATGGTGTCCCGCTTGCTGTTGACGAGAGACCCGTCGTCCCTGCGGGCGCCGACGGCCGCCTGGGCGGCGCTGTGCTTCATCAGCTGCTGCGGCACGTGCGACTCCGTCGACTGCAGGTACTCCCTGAGGCCGAACATGATCTCCTCGTCGTGCTCGGTGAGGAAGGAGGTGGCCACGCCGTCCTTGCCCGCTCGGCCCGTACGCCCGATGCGGTGGCAGTAAGTCTCGATCTTGTTCGGCAGCTCGTAGTTGATAACCTCCTGCGCAGGGGGGAGGGAGGGGGGAGTTGTTGTTGTTGTTCTCTTCACCTGAGGGGGTACTCATGGAAACGTATGCCATTGCCGTTCCATTGCCGTTCCATTGCCGTTAGATCATTGACCTCGCATACCGGGACAGACGAAACGCCGGGGTTTCGCCGGCCCAGGCTATCTACATTTTACAAGGATGAACCAGAAGCTGATAAGCTTGGCAGCTAGCTGGGGGGTTGGGGGTTGGGGGATCAATTATCGATCACCGGGTCAGAGCTACAAAGGTGCCCATTGACGTGCGACAGAAACACTCGGTTCGTTCAGCCAACGCGGAGTCAAATGGGGGCTACGGGCGCTTTCGGCGCATCGGAACCTGGGACGATACAGAGACAAAAAACAAAAATTCTCCGTGTGTATCGAGACACTTATACGCCAACGTTTGGGCTGTACGGACGTCGTGTATATACGTGCCACCAGAGCCGAAAACGAGGCTCGAAAAACGGGTAGTATTTTATCCCGGAACATCGGGGAAGCTGACTACGTACGACGGAGCCCAATCAGCCGAAAAGCAAATGCGTGTGGTGCCAACACACAGTCAGTAGCAAGCAGTCTTGATGCATGATTCTGACCTTGACATCTGGGATGTCCAGGCCGCGAGAGGCCACGTCCGTGGCGACCAGCACCGTGTAGTCGCCATCGCGGAAGCTCTCCAAGTTCTCTTCTCGTTGGTCCTGCGGGATGCGATCGATCGATCATCATGGCATCGGGAGACGAGGAAATTAAATGAAAGACGACGCAAAAATATCCAGTCCAAAGAGATTCCTAAAATCTGGCGTTTCTCCAGTTGTGACCACGGCAGGGGCTTCCAGAAGTTGTGCCGAAACGTGTAAAAGACCTACATCAAGAACGTGTGAATGGGATAAAAAGAACAAAAAAAGAGAGCTAGCCAAAGACTCACTAAACAACGAGATGCATAAACTGGACGAGATCGCGCACAAAAAGAGGATAAAACAGGACACCGCAACTGGCGCCCTACAACACAGACGAGAATAACAAAAAAACAAAAGAGGAGAGTGAGACGGGTGGACGAGACTCAACAAACAAACCACGAGGACAGAAGGTCCGGGCCGTAGGGGACTGGCGGGATCTTGTTGCGTTTCCGCGCCAACGACACAGACCCACCCCACTGAAGCTTCGCAGGACCAAGAAAGGTCGGAGGAGGAGATCGGAGGAGGTGGGAGGAGGCCGCCAACGCCACAAGCAACCACGCGCTCATCGTCGCACGACCAACACGACGACGAGCACGATGGCGATGGCGACCAACAACAAATCACAAAAACAAAAAACAACAAAAGGGGGGCAACAAACAACAACCCACCACAAACAAAAACAAGATGCTAACAAGAACAGCAACGAACAGCAACCAACAACAACAAGCACTTCCCGAAAAAAACAGAGATGCTTGCCTGAGTCTTGCCGCCGTGGAGGACCCCGGTGGAGAAGCCCGCCTGCTCCAGCTGCCGCCCGAGCATGTCCGCACTCTTCTTCGTGTTGATGAAAACCAGAAC